AAAAATAAAAGTCATTTTTCCTAAGCGTGACTATTTTAACCACTTTTGCAATCCCCAAAAAGTCTCTATAAATATTTTTGTGTACAAATCACATGCTTACTTATCCTTCTCATTTAAGCAATCGTCAATTTATGACATTAATTTGGTAATCTAAGAAATTATACTTCCTTAGATAGAGAACCATACCTGAGGGTACCGCATATCTCTTCAGGTCAATCTATTGCAGAAAAAAAATTACCATTAATGTTTGACCATCTAAAGTTTCACCTGTAAGAGAATTAACGTAATGTTCACCCTACCTGAGGGGAAATTGCCCTTATTGCAAAATCAAAAATCTCCTTTGAAGTCTGGGGATCTGAAAGAATACCAAAAAAGAAGCCTCAATTACAAAGTCTAACAACAATGTCATTTGAACTGCAAGCAACTTTACAACTGGCAGCTCTACTACAGCTTCCACATCTTCAGTAACCAAAGAACACTTGTAAATTCAGAAGGAACCTCACAGAACTTACACTAAGTCGCCCTAGAGTTATACAGGTTATTACTGTAGCAAAGTAGAAAAAAACATCCAAAATAACAACATGGGTCTAAATTCCAATTTATTATTTACAAGCTCAATGAGGTCATCTCTCAAAGTTTATGCTTTATTCTATAAAAAAGGACTCTCTATGTATATATGTATATATATGTATATATATGTATACATATATACATATATATAGTTTAGGATTATCTCAAAGAATAAATGTACTAAATCATTCAATCGCATTTTTTTCAACCAATGCTCTCACATACATGGCAGTTATTATGAGAATGACAAAGATGGGTAAAATGAGGTTAATTGAGGTTCATATAACATTGTCTGATTTACATTAGTTAGTTCTGTAACTGTTCCTAACACATTGTTTATTGCCAACTTCACAGAAATCACGCTTTCTTCCTTACTAATTTCTCTCCCTTAAAACAGTGCCCCCAAATAGCAGAGTTCAAGGACCGACTGCGATTGCTTTGATCACAAAGACTGATACATGGTGAAGGCAGAGGCTACATCCAACACAATGAGTTGGGTTTTTATTCTTTCTGGCTACAGATGTTCACAAAAGGCTTTACAGACAGAAGAGCATTTGAATTGAGGCTAAAATCCTAAGTGGGCATTAGGCAGCCAGTTCTAATAGGAAATAAAGGTGAAAACACACAAGTCGATAAAGAGGGTCTAGGCAATGCTCAGTGCCCTGCTGATGTGGAACAAGCAGATAGGACCACAAGGCTAGGAAGTCAGACTGATCAAGAAAAGCCTGAATATCTAGTGGTAGCAATGACACTATCGTCAACCACTGCTCATCCTCCTCTGACAACCTCACCCTCTTTGTTGGGCTAATCCTGTACAGGAATGCTCTTGTATCTGTTTCTAAAAGCCTCCCTATTCCATATCTCTCATCAGCTGCCTGGTTTCTTTGCTCTCCTCTGCTATACGATGTCTCTAAAGGGTTTTCCTCACATAAAAAAATACAATCAATATGTACTATTTTGACTGTAAATGTAATCCAGACATGTATCATATATTGATTATGTATATCATATATATAATTGAATTGTAAATGTAGAATTTGTATTAGTAAATGTTTTGATATGTATATTTTCACACAAAAAATTAACTGAAAATTCAAAAACCCACAGTGAATGGCAAAAAAATTTTTTTTTAAAGGTAATAGCAAATGTTGGCCAAGATATAGAGAAATCATGTCACTCATGCACTGTTGGAGGGAATGTAAAATAAAAATAATATAGTCACTCTAGAAAAGTCTGACAGATTCTTTAAAAAATAAACATGTGTCTACCATGTGTGGTGAATTAAAATAGCTTAATATAGCTCTTCTATCCAAAGACTTTGTAACACCTATCCAGCAAACAGGTGTGGCTATCGGGCTCAAACTTGGATATCGGTCAGTTTTCCCTTCGGTTGGGGATGAGAGCGAGCCATCTCAGAAGTAGGAGGAGAGATAATCCAGTGGCCATCAAGAAAGAAGAGCCACCAGTGAAACCGGGAAAGATCCCTGCCTGAAAGGGCAGAGGCAGTAGAGGCCGCAGCACCAGGACCACGAGGCAGAGCAGAGGAGCAGTGAGGAGACCAAGAGACGGCATGGTGGCCTCCCCAGCACATGAAACAAGGCAAAGGTCAAAGGACCTCCAAGTCGGGGGGCCGAGGACAAGAGAGAGGGATGCAGGCCAGTCTGGCTTAGAAGAGACATTGCAGACAAAAGATCCGTATCCTTACTCTTTTGTAACCTGTTAGCTCCCCTAATAAAGCTCATCGTGAGGACTGCCGGAGTCCTAGGTGACTGCAACACATGATCAAACTCAGCAGAGCGAGTGAGCCGTGGGAGAGATGGTCAGTGTCACAATAGGGGAGAGGAGGAAGGAGGGCGAATGCAATCAGCCTGGGGCTAGCTAGCTAGTGTGGCGTTGGAGTGTCCTCCATGTCACCAGACGAGGTCAGATGTGGTCCCTGTGCCACTGTATGTACCGCATGACTGTACGCGAATGCCTGCTCAGAGGAGCTTTGTTCGTGAGAGTCACAAATGGGAAACAAACCAAATATCCTTCAATAGGTAAATGGTTAAAGAAACGGAAAAACTTTTTAAGTTAAGGGGGAAAATGCATCTGTGCGATTAAGAAGATAAGTAAAATGGCGTATAATTGCATATATCAAAATAAACACACAGGGACACACAGACACATCTACATGCACACAAAACTGCTGACATCTGAGGAAGATCATTGGATCACACCAATGTCAATATCCTATGCTATGGTACTATAGTTATAAGCAGTGTCAACAATAACAATATCTGGTGATCGGCAATAGCTTATGAATCTAAAATTGGTCCCAAAGTGTTTGGTTTTTTTTTAAATAAACAATTGGCAATTCTTGCAGAGTCTTGTAATTTGGGGAGAGTGAAAGAGTATCAAGTGAAGCGACGTGATACCTTCCTCGGTGGATTTGGTGAAGTTACACAGAAGTGAAGTCAGGCCCTTCAGACATCCCGCCACAACAGGCAGTTTGGGCTCCCTGACTGTGGACGTCATCTAAAAGAAGAGATTTAACAAGATATCGTTCCAAGAGAAAACACATCCGGGTCTACCAACGCTGAATATTCTAAAGTTAACCATAGGTAAACATCATACCTGGGTCTTAAGTTCACCCAAAAAAGCCCGGAACAGTTTTTCTGAGTTATTTACCATCTCACTAGGATGTACTTCACCTAATACTCCTAGGAGTTCATATATTTTTTCTAAAACTGGAGAAAATGAAAAAAAAAATTCAGATAAATGAAAGTCTAATTTCTATTTAAATAAATGAACAAAAATGAAAGAATAAGAAAATAAGAGGCCGCTTAGTTCAAAACTAAAGTCATGTACAAAGAATCTGATTTTGGATAATGGAATTTTCTGATGAGTTCTATACCATTATTGTAAGTTAATTACATTTACAATTGGTTGTGGTTTTTATTCAGAGGAATCATTCTGAAAAGATTAAAACTTCCATAAATAGCAGTCATTTAAATAGGGTCATTACACATTTTCTTATTTTCACTTTGGTTTGTAAAAAGGGTCGGTCTAAAGAACATACACAGGCACATCTCGCAGATACGGCAGGTGCCATTGCAGCTACCACAAAAGAGCAAAAGCGGGTCACACAATTTTTTTATTCCCAGGGAAGATGAAAGTTATATTTGCAGTAGTTGACTATATTGCAGTCTATTTAGTATGCAGTAGCAAGATGAAAATAACTCAAAAATATTGTGAAGATTACCAAAAAGTGACAATCGCTCAACGCCGGGTTGCCACAAGCCGTCCACTTGTAAAAAACACAGTAAATGGAGGGCAATAAAATAAGGTGTGTCTTAAAGATCTCAACAGAGAAAGCATTCATTTTACACTACACAAAATTATGTTAATTTGTACTAGGGAGTAATACTGTAAATGTGTCTCACCTGTGTCTGGTATTTTTTTTCTCAGGGCAAGTTCTCCATAAAATTTGATAAATAATTCTCTAACTTTGAATTCCTCCATGAGGCTAGAACTTCTCAAAATCTGAAGTAACTGTAAAACCACACATTAGCATTTACTCAAGAGGAGAATAAGGAAAAGGTTTTCATGTCACTCGGTGCAGGTGTATACAGCAGAGTGAAAGTCAATAAAAAGACTGGAATTATCCTCTCAAAAGTCCTTAATACCAAGGACCAAGCAGACCTGATACTATAAAGCCCACCGCCATAGAATTGATTCTACCTCTGGGCAACCCCACACGTTAGAGCAGAAGAAAGTTCAAAAGAGAAATGCAGGTGAAAGTGCAATAGATGCAGCTGAGGACAGGTCCTCAAAATCATTTAGACTCACTGCCTTTGCTAAGGTGTTAGTAAAATCCTGATATACAGTGAAGGGACGCTTTGATCTTCTAACAATGCCTACTACTGCCAGGTTTCACTGAAGGGCATAAAGGTGATACATGAAAGTAGAAAAAACCCCTTCGTTCTTTTCTAGTCATTCTTCTCATGACCTTAAATGTGCCCCTTGTTACTCAGAGAAGTATATGAACAAATATCCAGGTGATGATTGGAGTATGTCCATCTTATCCGTACATCAATGATACAGTCAATCCTACCTTCCAGCCACTCAAAACTCAAACCAAATCACCCAAATCTAGTAGTATATCTTATAATTTGCATATATACAAGATAAAATGAATATAAAGAAATACAAAATTACCTTAATAAGAAGGTCTAAGGCCGGAATTTTACATTTAGCAGCTTTATCTTTTATATAAACACTGGTGCAAGTATTCTAGATTTCAAAAAGAGATATACCAAAATCATTAAAGATAATAGGTGAGAAAAACCATGTACTGAAGAGCTCTGCCAACTGTGAAGCTCTCTACCAATAAAGGCAACTTTCTAAAATACTAAGATTCTAATCAAGGAAGACTTTAAGAGGGAAAATATCAAAGCCTACTTAAAAACAAACAGCATGTATTCAATTTGCAATAATTTATAAAGTAATATCTTGCAAATTATAGCTAGCTACAACCCATACTACCATAAATAATTAGGGATAATAAGGTAGAACTTGCTAAGCCTATGGGAAGGGGCTGTAGTGGTCCAATGGTTGAAGTCCTTCACTTCTAGCCTGAGGACGGCAGTTGGAACACACCCAGTGGCTCCGTGGGAAAAAGATTTGCTGGTGGGATTTGCAAAGATTATAGCCTAGAAACCCTATGGGGGCAGTTCTACCCTTCATATTGGTTTGTTGTGAGTCAGAATCAATGATAGCACACAACAATGGTTATAATTCACAAGAGTATTTTCTTATAATTTTCTAATAAATTATCCTAGATGAAATGCATACATCTTTATCAACTTTTGGTTCACCAGACCCAGAAGCAAAATTCAAGGTCAATAAGAACAACTTATCTGGAGACTTGTTTAAAGTATACATAAGTCTGAGGAAAAAGACACTCAATTTAGGTTTACCAATTCCACAGTAAATTGTGAAGTGCCTAGGTTTGTTGGGGGGAAAGGCAGGCAAGAGCATGTGTAGGGAAAGAGAAATCCCAAAGAGGTGCATCTTAAGACTACTGTCCAGAGAGCATTCAGACTTTAGGAAATATGGATCTACCTACCAGAAGGATTCGTTAAAACTGCCTTTTACGTATTCTGAAATCTTTGCCACAATTAAAAAAACCCCAATCACCTATGCTGACTTTTTTTTTAAGGCAGTATAAACTTATGTACAAAAGTCATCCAAATAGGTCCTGAAAAGAAGCTTACCTCATTAGATCTTTTTAAAAAGACAGAAAGGGAAGGAAAGGGAAAACTCACTTCAGTTCCAACACAAACCTCCTTACCTTAATCTCAAGAGCATAAGGTATGATCTGCTGGCCAATTTTTTCTAAGAAAATATACAAAAATTTTAGGGCTTCTTCTCTGCAATCACGAAACTATAATGAAAGAAATACATATATCATAAACATAGGTAAGAATAAAAGTCACTGGCATAAAAGAAAAAGTGTGAAAACCAGGATGAAAAAGTCCACTTACTTCTTCAAAGCCAAGCGATTTCTGCACAAATACATGCAAACCATAATCTCTGGAAAAAACTAAGGACATCTGTAAGGCTGAACAGAAGAAAACAAGTTAAGAGAGTTGCCAAAAGAACTCTAGTAACAATGAATCGACCCTAAAGTGGTTGCCAGTGTCCTGGGTGGCACAACCTGTTAAGCACTTGACTACGAACCAAAGGTTGGAGGTTAGAACCCACCCAAAGGCACCCAGGAAAACACATACACACACACAACTTGTTTTCATTAGGTCAGTTCCAATGCATAGGGTCGAATGAACCACATCTTTCTTCTGCAGAGCAGCTGGTGGGTTCAAACCATCAAATAGTCCCCAGGCATTTAACCACTGCATGTCCAGAGCTCTCAGTTTTCTGGGAAAACAGGACTGGCAATCAGCTACCCAAAGGTCCCAGCCTTGAAAACCCTATGGAGCAATCTGGGGTCATCATTAAACATGATTAACTCCATGGCAGCTAACAACAAACACAATAAAAGGGATTGCAAATTCAGCCTTATAGATAAGAAACGCACCTAAGGCTGCTGCTGTTTATAAGGAAAGCAAGAAGTTCCACATGATGCACCACAGGGTTAAAATAGGTAAAATAATGACTTCCCTTGTCCTCATCCCTGATGCTTCCCTTGCAAATATGCTAGTATTTACAATGCTGTGAATCGTAATACGGCCCTTCAAGTCATAGTCTTTGTAGCCCCCCCCCCCCCCAATGACTTGGCTCCGCAAATGTTAGGTGCTTGTGGCCCACTCAAGGGAGTGGAAAATGAAACACCAAACCTAATGCCATCAAAAAAGAAAGAGTGGGACTGCAAGGCCACAGGCAATTAGGTGGCTTTGCTTGGCAGGCATTCCCCTTGGCAGAGCCGGTATCCAGCCAGTACATTGCAGTATGCTCAAAGGAGGTATATTCAAGCACTCAGGCCTCCCCAGTCAGCCATGCTCTCAAATGCTCCCATTCAGTCCTAGCCAGGAATCTCCTTGTGTGACCTCTTATTAAGAAACTCTAGGCACTTCTTCAGAGTCAGTCTCCATCTGGAAACTCCACTAAAATCTGTTCACCATGGGTGACCCTCCTGGTTTTTGATGTATCAGTGACACAGCTTCTAGTATCAGAGCACACAGAAACCACTACAGGAAGAACAAGCAGGCAGTTTGGTATTATTTTTATCCTTACCTAATAGAGTGAACACAATGATTAAGTCCTGGGCTGCTAACCAAATATGCTCATAGACTGGCAAATAAAACCCACACAAACACACCACCATTGAGTCTATTACAAGATTGTGGGTATTTGTGGACGCAGGCAGCCTAGTCTTTCTCCTACGGATTGGCTAGTGGGTTTGAATTGTTGACCTTGTCTAACCGATTTCTAACAAAAGGCAAGGGGAGGATATTAAAAAAGCAAGCCCATTGCCATTGAATTGAATACAGACTACCTGAGTAAAACCCTATTATGGTAAAGAGCCCTGATGGCACTGTGGGTTGGGTGTTCAGCTGCTAACTACAAAATTACAGGTTTGAGCCCACCAGGGACTCCAATGTGAGAGGATGAGGATGTCTGTCCCATACAGATTGATAATGTTGGAAACACTACACTATATAGAACAGCTATAAATCAGAATCAAGTGGATGGCAGTGGGCTTGGTTTTTATGGCAAATAGCACAGGATTTCCCTTTCTGATATAAATCTCAAGTCAAATAAACAACTTACTGAAGTAAAAAACAAGCAACCCAAGGCCATCAAATGGATTCCGTATCAAGGAAACCTTACAGGTAGAAACGTCCCTTAGGGTTTCTGAGGCAACTGTTAATCGTTATGGGATCATAAAACCTCATCTTCATTCCCTGCAGCCACTGGTGGAGTTAAACTGCTAGCTGTGTTCACCTAATAGCATTACTACACAATGATGCAAACCTTTACTAAATAAAAATATCAAGATGTAAAGCTGTTAGGTCTTGATGTATCCGCTATCTAGATCTATACACTTCTGAAAGCAGTATTTCCATCTCTCTGACCCGAAGAATTCTGTGCTGTTCACTCGACACCACCTTAAAACGACAATTTTGGCATCCTCAAGGGTTTCCAATTGTGGGCCTTTTATACGTTGACTTGTGGGAACCAAAAGAAGTCTGAAGGGGCAGGATCAGGGCTGCAGGATGAGCAGGATAGGGCTTCCCAATGTTCTCACAGACAGCCCTTATTACTCTCCAAGAATGAGCAGGCGCTTTCTTGTGATGGGAAAAAAAGTCCTTCCTGCAACTTCCCTGGGCTTTTCCGCATCAAGGAAGGTTTCAGTTTTCTTAAAAGCTGTTCATAAACCCCCAAGATCATCTTGTCCTCCAAAAAAAAAATCTATCAAGGTGGCCTCTTTGGAATCCCCCATAAAAGCCACTGAGCTGACCTCTGCCTTGAATTTAACTGGCCTAGCATATCCTATCAGAAGCTGGTTCTGATTGTACTCTTTCTGAACCTTGGTGCCTAAGAAGACTAAGATAAGTGTGTTACTAGAGAACTTGTCTGCAGCCATTCAACGATTGCAGAACTGTTTAAACATGTTCTATTTGAAATAAACTTGTGAGTGTAAGACCTGGAATCCTAGTAGTGGTGTTTAACGGCTCCCTGTACTATACAGCCTCTTAGGAGCATTGATGGCACAGTGATGAAGCACTTGACTGCTCACCTTTCCACCACAGAAAGATGTGACCCAGGCGTCCAAAATCAGTACAGCCTTGGGAAGCCCCCGGGGCAGTTTGACTGTTCTATAATGTGGCACCTGGTCAGAGTCCACGAAACTGCAGTAGCTGCAAGCCTCTTGCTTCTGGTTAGATTCTATCCCCAGCATACTCAACACTAACCTCTTAGAAGAAAATTTCACCTGGCCCTAATTAAGAAGACACTGGAGAGATCCATATAATGGTGTTTTTAAAAGGATCAGAGGCATCTGCTTCCTACCAAAATAAGGAAAGACTGAACAGGGGCAATAGCAATACCAAGGGTTTTGTGGTGTTGGTTTGTTGTTGTTTTTTTTGGGGGGGGGGTATCTTCTCATGCAGGCAATATTGCCTTTGCCTCTTCACACCTGTTTTAAAAGTAGGACCAGCAAATCCGGGATTTGAAAAGGTATGGGTGAGTTTAGGTGAAGGTGAGGTGAAAGAAAATACTTTCCCTTACTTTTCTAATACCCACCCAAAACTCATGCTATCTACTCATTGTGACTCGGAGTAACAAGACTGTAAATCTTTACCGGAGCAAACAGCCTCAACTTTTCCTTCGGAGCAGCTAATGAGTTTGCAAGCAGACCTTGCGGTCACCAGATCATCGCTCATCAGACAGCGCCACCAGGGCTCCTTACTTTGGCTATCGGTAATTGCCAGATTTGGGAGGATGTTCTCAAACTTGTGATTCTCAGTCACCTTCCCTCTCCTGTCCAAAATAAATAAAGGCGGTACAACAAACAACCCACAGCAATACACCTCAAGCTCAAGCTGAACACCCCACACGCGGGCCGCGGGCCGGTACCCACCCAGAGCCGAGGCGCTGGCGCTCAGCACGCACTCCAGGCCCAAGCCCCGGATCAGGTGATAACCGGCCATTGCGGCGGCGCCCCGATCCGCCGCGGACAAGGTCTCCTGCAGCTGCTTCAAGGAGCCTTGCAGCCCTCCACCCGCGGCAGCCATGGCGCGGAATCCCAGGCACACGCCTGCGCACTCGGGCCCAGGCGCCAAAAAGCGTCGCGCGGCGCCGAGGGGGCGGGGCTCTCCTTGGAGGGTAGGGTGTGGGCGGGGCTGAAGTCAGGGTTCCGGTCTTAACCGGCCAGCGGCGTGGGGCGGGCCTGCAGCCACTCCGGCCCTCCCCTTTGGTGCGGTGCGGGCGGAAATGGGGGAGGGGGTGACTTCTTCCCCTGCCCCGTGACAGTAAGAGTTCGTGTGGCCAGTTTACACTTGACCTGCTAAGCACCTTCGCGGGTCAGTTTCTGAATGATCAGCGTTTGATGCCGAAGGCGCCAAAGATCAGAAACCCCACGGTTGGACCCTCACAGATAAGTGGGACGGGAGGTGTATTGTAGACAGCACAGAAAAGAAAAAGACCCCACAGGCGTCTGCTCTCCTACAAGTTGCAAGTCTATTCCTGTACAAACTGGAAAATGTATTTAGAAAGCCAGTGGAAACGAGCCACACCTCCCCCACCCCCCTTCCCGTCCGATTTCCCGCCAAACTCGACTCCACCTCGGGCCGGACCATCTGGTGCGGGGGAGACCGGAGAGCGACAGTCCCCTATTGGAGAGCCGTGGCGCCTTCCGGGCGGGGCAGTACGAGCGGGCGCTGCGATTGGTGGGGGACGGGCTTGGGGCGGGGCCGGCTTGTGTTCCCGCGCAAACACGGGAAGTCTCCGACCCGTAGTTGCCCTTCTGGGAGTGGGATCCGGTGTCTTGTTTCGGAAGGCTTTTGCTGCGTCGACCTCCACTTCTAGTGAGGGTGGGTGGCGTCCGGAGCCACGCAGAGAGTGTTGTCGGTAGTGTGGGGCGCCCGGGGGCCCCGCGGGATTTAGGGGCGACGGAGAAGGGGTGCGGAAGCACGTTGGGCGGGCGCGCGCGAGCCCAGTTCTCCTGCCTTACAGGTACCCCGCCGTCGCCATGTCATCGCCAGCGTCCACCCCGAGCCGCCGTGGCAGCCGGCGCGGCCGA